TAAAATTTATTAAGGAGGTACTATTTTCCAAGAACCCACCAAGCTGATGGTCCTTGTAATAGTCAGTCAACAAAGCATTCAACAACTCTTTATTGCTGGTCCCTGTGCTAAATGCTAAGGATGCAACATGAAAAATCAAACTCGAGTTGAATGAAGGCTTTGCTGTGACACATTTCACTTAGTAGTATCTTGAAATAATTTTAGTGAATGTTTTTTAAAAAGTGTGTGAAGTTAGAATAAACATGGTACATCTTTCTTTAATCTTATAAAAATTCTCCACAGTGAAAGATTCCTGGAATTGTTATACCAGATAAACTATTTCAAAACTATTTAAAGTTTATGAATACAGTTCTGTGATTATTAAAATAGCTCATAGCCCACCTTTCTTTTGCCTGGAGATCCTTTTTTATTAATGCTTCAAACTTCTTAATCTCATTGGCCACATCCTTTAAAGAAAAAAATCATCATTGGTTCTGTGCCCTAACTGGAACCATTGAAAATCTTTATTTACCATTTTCATTTAAGTTTATAAAGTGACATACTAATCAAGATAATTAGGAGCCAAGATATGAAAATTTGCATTCTAGAACATTTTTACAATTCCAATTTGTTATTTTAGACTAGGTTAACAAAATAGGAAAACTGCCTAACCTGAATCATTTAGTTCACAATTCTAATAGTACACCAAAGGACAGTGAATTAAAATGAAGAATATCAGAGTCAGAGCATGGATTTGAGAGATATAAATATTGCTCTAAAAATTGTTGACGTGGATGTCTTAATCAATGCAACCTTATTTATACTATTCATTTGTTCTCTGAAAATCAGTTTATCCTTGTGCATTACAAATCCTTATTAATAAACTTTGATCAATTCAGAGAAATATGAGAGTTAAATAGCAAAATGAGGTCAGCAAAAAGCCTCTGTCATGGTATTTTTTAGAATACAAGGTACAAGGACTTTTTTTTGTGTGTGTGTGTGGAAAATAGAAATGTGTTGGGTTAATGGATTCAGGAATAATCGAGAGATCTATCAATTTCTGCTTTATCCACACTGGTGAGCATGAGTAAAACATGTCAACTTTCAGAGTTTAAGTTCTCTTATCTACAAAATGGGAAAATAACATTTTACTAAGAGAGTTATTTACAAATTAAAGATAATGTGAAATGCCAACCTACATCTTAAAATATAGTAGATGTACACTAAATGGTAGCTCTTTTTCTTCTTAAGTCATACAAGATTATATCAACAATTAAGAGTTACTATCAAATTGTAGTATTGATCTCCTATGAAATATAAACAGATTTTATCCTATTGTAATGATTGAAAGTTGATCTAGTAAAATACCACCAGTGTAGGAATCTTGAATTGAAATATACTGATAGCATAGGGATCCCAGTTAATATTCCTGGGATCCATAGCAAAATTGTGCTGCATCCTGAGGAAAAATGATATATAAGGTGTATGTATCTTATAAGGTATGGTGCACCCATGGCAGTCATGACACATTCTGATCCCTTTTGTTAGCAACCATAGAATGCTTCTAAACAGGGGCTGGGTCTGTAGCTAAGTGGTAGAGCACTTGCCTAGCACATTGAGGCACTGGGTTCCATCTTCAGCACCACATAAAAAAAATAAATAAATAAGTAAAATAAAGGTGTTTGTGTGCACATGCATGTGTGCGTGCGTGCGTGCGTGCGTGCGTGCGTGTGTGTATTGCTTCTGAACAAGGAGTCTAGACCAGTGCTGCCATTTAATAAGAATTTGCCAAGCCTGGCCAAAAGATACTTCTCTATAAAACCTACAAATAACAGTGTAAAATGGATTGTATATGCATAGACTAGAGAAATTTTGATTAAGAAGGGACAAGGCTAGAGGTAATTTGAAAAGCAAAAATTTCACAGTTCTCTAATACTTTAGGGAAAGATCTTTTTTAAAAAAAATTATGATAAACACAACATAATAGTAAGGATCATCACTTACCTCTGCCTCTTTTTTCTTTTTCAGCATTTTTTGTGCCTCAAGTGCTTTCAAAGTACGATTGGATGTAGGTTTAGGAATCTGTATGATGGCTGCTTGGATTTTGGCCATTATTTCATTTTGTCGTCTTCTGCTTAAGCGTTGCTGAGTATCCCATATACATTAATTTAGTTTTTCAGTTTGTCAGAAGAATAGGTAATGTAATAGATGCACAGATAAACAGACATACAGTTTCTATATTGAAAATTTTAGAACTCAGCAATTGACCAATAGACTAGGTATCACAACTGTGTAGTTTGGAGGCAGTGGTCAATATGATTTACTTTGGAAATTATAAGGTTAAAACCGTTTTGAAGTCCCCAAATATATCTGTCAAGTATGTACATTTTCATCCCACATGATAATACTAAAGGATAATAAAGGTGGTGCAGATATGAATATTATATTGTTTCCCAAGTCCAGCTTCATGATCTGCACAATCCAAGAAAGTGAAAATTCTATCCCTGAATATGGTCTGTAGGAAAAACTCAGTCTAGGAATCAGACTCTATGAGGACTCCTGGGAAACCCAATAGAAATGACAGCTCCCCAAAAACCCAGTCACACCTGAACATGAATTAGAGGCTACTTCAGAAACTAAATAGACACCAAATTACGTGTCATTATTGGATCATTTCATCAGTGTATAGTAATTATTTTAAGAAGAAAGGTGCAATTTAAAGTTTTAAAAGCCCCCAAATCTTTAAAATCAGATAAAATATTTTAAAAACAAATGATTTAAGAGGCAACATATGAAACTTACCATGTCTTTACCACTAAAGAATATTAGAACCCATAAGACCATTAGTTTCTACATTCAAGAATCAAAAATATAATTTATCATTAAAAATGTAAAAATTAAGGGCTGGGACTGTGGCTCAGTGGTAGAGCAGGTGCCTGGCATGTGTGAGCTACTGGGTTTAATTCTTATCACTGTATATAAATAAACAAAATAAAGGTCTATCAACAACTAAAAAAACAAACTAAAAAAAATTTAAATGTAAAAGTTGTAGATAATTTAAGTTTTTCTCATTTCATACTCTCAACTGCGAATTATTATTTAATTTAAATAAGTTTATCTCTTTTTCTTAAGGAAGTCATAAGCTCTCTCTTTTGGCTTATTTGCTTCTTATGATCATTTTTAATATAATTTATTTTAGAATATTTAATGACATCATATTTCCTTTTTCCCAACTTTCTTTGGAAATTTTCTGCATTGCACTTGGCACTTTAAAGCTGGACTGGCTGGTCCTATATGAACTAGAGTCCAGCACTTTGTCCCAATTTAAGTAAGACTTTACAAGTGCCCTTCCTCCCAGGCATGTAATAGAAGCATAAGATCTTCTAGAGTTTGCCTCTCATCTTCTCCTTCTTCCCCACAGAGCTCACAACATTTAAGCTATATTAATTTCATATATCTTAAGCATAATAATTTAGAAAGTGATTTTACAATAGGAATAACTGTAATTCTTTGCCTCCAGTTTACATACTCCATACACTCAGCTACCTCAAATTCTCTTTAAAAGTCTTCAATGATTTGGCTCCTCATTATCCTCTCTTGTCCTTTAATATGCAAATCGTTATAGATTTTCAAAGAAATGTGAGAAGTAGAGAGTTAGTCTAAGCAGAAAGCAAGTTGCTGGAAGGAGTTAAGAGATGCTTAAGATGGTTACAAAAGGAAGCAAGCAGAGAACTGACCCACTAGAGGGAAAAAGGGAAGGGTAGGAGTGGAAAAAGGGGGAAATGTCGACTTTCACTCCCTCAGGGTTGACCAAGGTCATGAGCCTTTGATCATTTGGGAAACTAGTAGAAAACTTCCATTGCTAAAGCAATTGAAGGAACTTCCACCATGACAGAGACCAAGTTGTTCTGCCAAGCAGACAGAGAAAGCAGTTATTATTCTCACTCACCAGTGGACTTGATAGACTGCAAGAGTGAGGTTGAGGAGAAGGGGGAAAGGAGGGCAGGGCAAAGTCATGCTTCAGTAAAATGCAAATTGTGTTATTTTACTGCTTATGCAATGTGTACAATAGGCATAAATCTCAAATAGTATACTCTGCACTAATGAATTTCTGGAAAAATTATTCTATAAAAACTTTTCCATACTAAAATATCTTTGTTCTTCCTTGAGTTTTCGAAATCTTTCAAGGTTCTCAAAATGCGTTTGGGCAAGTTTTTCTTTCATTTGTGTATATTTTTCTTGAAACCTGTCTGTAACCCGCATCAGACTGAGATTGATTTGACATGGTATTTTGCTTTTATTTCTAAATGAAGAAAGTATTTTCAAAAGATTTTGTTATTAAAGAATAGAAATTGATAGTTAAATTGATTTACCATGTCAATCAATCAGATCTTTAACTGATCTAAGACTATAAAAAGTTATGATTTTAATAGCTCTTTACCAAAGAACCTCATATATGCTTTTATTTTTTCCTTTTTGGTACTGGGGATTGAATCCAGGGTCCAGGGTCCTTTTTTTTTTAACCCACTTAGCTATATTCCCCCATTCTTATACACTGTATACTACCCCCCCCTTTTTTAAGACAAGGTCTCACTAAGTTGCTGAGGCTGACCTTGACCTCCTGATTTGGTGGGATTACAGGCATCCTCCATCACATCTAGTTCATATATACTTCTATACTTAAATTTTTGCCTGAGTTTAATTTTCAGTGAATGGTATTTATATATTTAAAAATACATTTTCGCAAAAATGATTCTATAAAACTAATTTCAAATTATAAGGGATAATATAAGAAGACAGATTCTTCCCATAACTTAAGTAACTTCCTAGCAAATAATAAAGAAACATTAAAAACTTCCCAAACTTGAGTTTCAGTTTTAGCACCCACTGGCTTCCTGATTAGATAAGTTAACCAACCCCTTTGTGCACCAGCTTCATCATTTATAAAATGGGAATGATAAAAGTACCTATTTCATAGAGCTGTTGTGAAGATCAAGTGAGAAAATGTACATAAAGCACTTGGAACAAGACTTGCACATCACTATGTACATTCATTACATTTTCATCATTATTAATTTTACTATCTAATGGGCACATGCATCTCTGCCAACTGGCACCAAAGAGACAGCTCTACTTCTTGCCTAAGCTCGTTTCTCCTCTACACAAACCAATGATGGCCTCTTCCTCTTTTCTTCCCCAGACGACCTCTTTCCATTTGGTCCTTGTGTCCATCTCTGGCCACTGACTCCTTTTGTCAATGGGCAAGTTGGCCCAGTTTCTGTATCCATTAAATATAATCTCACACTTGCTTTGAGCTACCATTTTTATTTTCCCATTTCCTGTTCTTCCTACATTTCTTGAAAGAATAATCCATGCTCTCTTCTTCCTTATCTCCAGCTCCTTCCTCAAATCACTGCAATCTATACCTCTCCATGGAAATATTTTTCTGTCCTTAAAATGTAAAGTATAAAAGGGAAAGCTGGGAATGGAATCACCATTTGACCCAGCTATTCCCCTTCTCGGTCTATTCCCTAAAGACCTAAAAAGAGCATGCTACAAGGACACTGCTACATCGATGTTCATAGCAGCACAATTCACAATAGCAAGACTGTGGAACCAACCTAGATGCCCTTCAATAGATGAATGGATAAAAAAAAATGTGGCATTTATACACAATGGAGTATTACTCTGCACTAAAACATGACAAAATCAAGGAATTTGCAGGGAAATGGATGGCACTAGAGCAGATTATGCTAAGTGAAGCCAGCCAATCCCTAAAAAACAAATGCCAAATTTCTTCTTTGATATAAGGAGAGTAAGAACAGAGTAGGGACGAAGAGCATGAGAAGAAGATTAACATTAAACAGGGATGAGAGGTGGGAGGGAAAGTGAGAGAGAAGGGAAATTGCATGGGAATGGAAGGAGACCCTCAGGGTTATACAAAATTACATACAAGAGGAAGTGAGGGGAAAGGGAAAAATAATACAAGGGGGAGAAATGAATTACAGTAGAGGGGGTAGAGAGAGAAGAGGGGAGGGGAGGGGAGGGGAGGGGGAATAGTAGAGGCTAGAAAAGGCAGCAGAATACAACAGACACTAGTATGGCAATATGTAAATCAATGGAAGTGTAACTGATGTGATTCTGCAATCTGTATACGGGGTAAAAATGGGAGTTCATAACCCACTTGAATCAAAGTGTGAAATATGATATATCAAGAACTATGTAATGTTTTGAACAACCAACAATAAAAAAAGGGTTGTGGACTTTCCCTTTTACTTGTGTCTGGTATGAATATCTGTTTAATGAACAAATGATTGACTTTGTGTTATGGTTTAGATATGAGTTGCCCCCCAAAAACACTTGTGTGTAAGACAATGCAAGGAAGTTCAGAGGTGATAGGATTGGGTTATGAGAGCCTTAACCTAATCCCAGCATTAGTCCACTGATACAGATTAACTGGGCAGTAAGTACAGCAGGGAAGGTGTGGTTGGAGGAAGTAGGTCATTGGGGGCATGCCTTTATATTTTGTTCCTAGTGAGCAAAGGTCTCTCTCTTCTTCCTTGTTGCCATGTCCTGAGCTGCTGTCCTCTGCCATGCCCTTTGCCATGATGTTCTGCCTCACCTCAGACACAGGTATGGAGCTGACCATCTAGGGACTGAGACCTATGAAACCATGAGCCCCAGATACACTTCCTCTTCTGTGTTGTTCTTAACAGATCCTTTGGCCACAGTGCTGAAAAAGCTGAGTAAAACACTCTGGAAGTCACCCTGACAAACATTGAGCTTAATGGGCTCTTGTTTGTCCTCGTCTATAGCAATTCTTCCAACACTTGTGCCAACTGCTCTAAGTTTATCGTATATTATCTTTTTGAAGCTACACAAAAGCCCAATGCTAAAGCAGGTACAGATAATCATCCTTGTTTTTACGGTTGGGAAATTGAAGTTAGTGTCTTTCAGGGAGTGGCTTAATGTGAACAAGCTTGAAGTAAGCAAAGGAGGAAGGATATAATCCTGAATTATTTGGTTTAAGCCTCATTTAATTTCTAGTTCATCCATGCGTTCATTTTGCGGCAGTATGAGGATGTCCATTTAAAATGTAAGATAGAAAATGGAGGTGGCCATCATATCTATTATGTCATTTTTGCTTCATAAATTAAAATTTAAAATTTAATTATCTCCACATATATTTAGTGCTTTGCGTCAGTGCAGCTCTCACCATTAATTCCACCATAAGGAAATAGCATAGGAACTGGAGAGAATTGTCAACTAAAAAGTTGTATCAGTTTATTAAAACACAATTAGGGAATTTTCCAATGTCAAATTAGAGAATTTTCCAATACACTGTTCTAGAGTGTATTCCTTGAATCTGAGGTCTTAAAAACCTTGTGGTCATATAAGCAGATAATGAACAGTTAGCCAACAATAACAGCATCGGGAACTTAACACCCACAGTGAGAATTACCTGTGCCCCGGAAGTTTCAAAGGAAGGATCTTTGTGTAATGGGAAGCTGAACAGAAGAAGAGATGGGACAAGGAAGTTTAGAGGGAAAAGAGATGGAAAAGGTGACTTTGGGTGGAAGGGAAAGAGGAGCAGGAATACCCAAGTCATTCAAGAATACTCTGTCAATCAGCATAGAAGAAGTAAAAACTTTATGTGGAGGATGGTGAAGAAATAAAGTTAGAAACATTTGTTGACAATAGCATCAAAGAGACAGCTCTTTGATGAATTATTTTGAAGGCCAGTCTAAATTAGAGTTAGGGTATATGTAAAATTGAAAATTTCTGAGCCAAGGAAGAACCCAGTGAGTCTAGAATTTAGGGGAGATTCATCTAGCAGTGGATTAGCCTCTGGCAGAAAGTATGAAGCTCAGGAAATATGTTAGTAGACAGTTGCAATAGCTAAAAGGAGATCTGAGTAGTGTAAGAGGGGGAGAAATGGAAGAGAAGAGCAGGCGCAAGAAGGGAACAGGAAGAGAATTTGATAAACTAGTGGCAATGTGGACAGGAGAGAGAGATATATCAAAGTGGATCAATAAGTCCAAAATATTAACATAAATAAACCCGAAATATGGCCAGTAACACACATAGAGACATATATACCCAGTGCAGCTTCTTTGAGAATATAATGTCACTGGTCACTGTCATTTTTCTTGACCAAGTTTTACATTGCAACATGCCTATTGGGTTTCTTTATGTACCTACCTCTCGGAAAGCCTCACTTTTCACGTTTTGAAGCCTGAAACACCCCAGGGGCTGCATTGATTGCATTTCTACTGCAGTCCGTTCACTTTTCTTCTTTTTCTGAAGAGCAATGTACAATTGATATAAAAGCTTCGTTGCTGCCCCAGGCTTTTCTGTGATGATGCTGTGGGCCACATTCTGATCAAATTGAACACCCAGAAGGTGAAGTGTTGGCTCCAAGCGGGAAAAATTATTAAGCCTGGCAGTTGAAATTCTGGAAGTTAAAAATATTTTACATAATTAGATACCAGCACTGAGTTAAAAACAAATACTAGACATAAGGGTCATGATACGGTATTATGAATTATCACATATTCTTTTAAATGTATCATTTCTCTATAGAATCCCTCAATAATTAAAATACACTATATTTTTTACTAGCCATATATACCTGAAATTCCCCATTTATTTCTCCTGAGTTTCTAAAATGCCTAGATTTTACAAATTTTTAATTTAAATTTACAATAGAATTTTTTTTATAGAAAGTCAATACAGAAACAGACAACCAAATGATTTCTTCTACATAGAAAAATTTAACTAGAATTTTAAAAATTATTTTTAACTTAGAAGAAAAAATTACAATCTAAATATCTAATTCTTTAAATTATATTTTTGTTAAGAGTCTAAAAATAGTCCTGTTTCAATACCGATTCAAACAATGATCCTCCTAGGCAATATCAATAATATTTAAGTAATATTAGCTAGGCAATCTAATTAATCATGTATTTCCACTATACAACTTATATTACTACTTTATAAATTGAAAAGACTTTGACTAGAAGCTACATTTATTTTTGAATGACTTATTATCACATGAGCCTCACATTTTAGAAGAAATCCGTTAAACTTTTATTTAGTAATCTACTCTTTCAGTTAACAACCTTTTAAAAAAAATATCCATTACGTGCTAGGGATTGGTTTGCTTATTAAATTTAACAAAACTTTAAATATTTGTTGAAGTGTTATACAGATAAATAGGATGTGGTCACTGGCCTTCAGAAGTTCACAGTGAATAAAAACCCAGATAAACCAACAAGTAGAAATAAACTGAGGTAAGTATTTTAAAAGAGGTCTCAAGTGAGCTAGGTTAATGAGCTTTTAAGTTGATGACGTCAGAGGGTAAGATACATTGCATGCATTTTCAACTCTTGTGCCTCTTAAGAGTCTGTTGGAGGTTCTGGCAGGAAACTGTCCCCCACAGGTTGTCTTCTCCCAGGCTGTGGCTCCAGGAGGGATACACATGCAGTGGTGAGGCAGGAAGCCCTCACCCACCTAGTCAGCCAGATCAGCCAGTCCACTCTGAAGATCAGTGGGGTGGCAGATGGCCAGATGTTTCTCTTTATGATCAAATTGGATACAAACAATCAATTTTAGCCACTGGGCTGATTTCTGATAATAATTGGGTAACAATTTTTAATGGAAAAAAATATACCAAGTCTACTTGAATGTAAGTCAAACAACCTATTTCCCACGAAAAATGGTAGCTCGGAACAGAAAGTGTTGCTATATATTCGAATGAGTATTAAAAAAAAAAAAAAACTTCCTAGGAGTCCAAGGTGCCTCACCCATTATGTAATTTAGAAAGGTAGGGACTAAGTCATCTGTCAGAGTTTTGTTCTGGGTCATGATTGTGGGCTGCAAAGGTAGGGGCACCATAGTTCAGTAGGGAAAATACATAAGTAAACATTACCCATTTCCAAAGTTTGGCAAAGCTTAGCCCTTCATCCAAAAAAAGAACACCCTCTGCCTTTCCCTAACTTGTATTATGTGGCTCCCAGAATGCAGTAATAAACCTGGAAATAGGTTTAAAAATAGCTTTTATGAACTGGCAAGGTATCCAAGCATTACAATATTTCTCCATGGAAGCTTTTATGAATATTCCAAATTTCCATTCAATCTAAATTTGGGGAACATAACTTTTGTGTATTTTAGTGGTAGTCCATGTTTGTTCAAATGTGTGATTTACATAACAGGATAAAGAGTGTTCTTGAGTGCAGGGAAACCCCTGGGACATTTTTGCTCTGGAGACAGAGCGTATGATGTAAAGGATGGCCTCTGAGGGAATAAGGAATTGGTCTGGGAAAGTCTTGCTTTCTACTTGCAGTCCTTATTTGTCAAGGGACTACCACTCCTCTCCTTCCTGCCAACTGGTGAGAGATATGACCTTTTTGCAAGATAAGTAGAAGCTGTCCTCCCCCAAAGATTCTTTCTTCTTTATTTCTTTTTCTTTTAACTAATTTGCCCATTATTTGCCCTTTTGGAACATTTTTTTTTTGCAAGAAAAAATATTCTAAAGCAGCAAAATCTTTTAGAGTCAGATGAGTTATTCTTAGTTATTTCTCAGACAAACAGCTGCAAGTTATTAGTTGCTTATAGCTAAGGGTTTTCATTTTAGATGAAGGAAACAATTGGATACAAACAATTGGATACAATAAAAATATTAGACATGATGCTCATGTCATAGGCCCTAGCACTAGAGTTGCCTTAAAAATAGACTTTCAGGAAAAAGATCCTATTCCACACCTGTTACACTCTTATGAAAGTCATGTCATGGATTTACTCATCCTTGCCTTATTGTAAAGACCATGCACCCTGGAAAAAAGTGAGTTGCTCCAAGAACTGAAAATGGATGATATTTGTTTGTTAACATATGTAAGTACTGCTTCACAGATTAAAGAAAGAAGTGATTTTTGGTGGAAGTGGAAGTCCTTCCAGAACAAGCAGTGCTGCCGCATTTGAAGTTAGTTACACAGGACACCTATCCAAACATGGGGCAAGAGTGTGAGATCCGTTCCATTCTCAACTTGCCAAGCCTCGTCCCTAGTGTAAGACTGCTCTACACAAAAAGGAGATCTGTGTCCTTTGTACAAAGATTTCCCTGTTCACCAAGACCTGCATCTTCACAATTGTCAATCCTGACAGGAATCCTGTTTCTTATTTCTAATTCCGTACAAAACCTCTTTGTGACCCTGCCAACAAGAACCAATTTAGAACAGTATGTATAGGGCATTGGTTAAAAGGACTCCTAGTTGATGTCAAAATTCTTAGTTTCCTGTAAAATAGCACAGCATTTGCATATGATCCTGACACATTCCCTCCTATAATTTAAATCATCTCTAGATTACTTACAATACCCAGTACTGCACAAGTTCTATGTAAACAGTTGTTATACTGTAAAAAAGAATAATGACAAGGGGATAAAAGGGACTGTGCATGTTCAGAACCAGTGTGATTTTCTTTCTTTCATTTTTTAAAAAATATCTTCAACCCACAATTGGTTTAATCCACAGATGCAGAATGTGGGTATGGAGGGTCCACTGGTATCTCTAAAATACTGCACAAGTGATCTGGCTGCTCAGTATGGTCCTTTAACTTCTCTCAACAAGCAGACTTTTTTGATATAAATTATTTATTCACTGGGTAAAAAGAATTATGCATCATCTATGAGCCAGTGACAATGCTTGAAGTACACAAAAATAAACACAATCTGCAACTTCAGTATCTTTATAATCCAGCTGAAGAGCAAACCTTCCTTCAGCTATTTGTCAAATGTTTGTGGGGCCATTTTTTTTTTGTGGCAGTCACTCAAAAAGAACTTAGATATATAAATATTCATGATGTAATGTGACAAGGAGAGAAATGTCCAAATTGTTTAAGAGCAAAGAAAAATAGGAAAACAGATCTGCTGGGATGGATAAAGAAGGTGTGAATTTTTAGTTGATTCTAAGGATGAATAAGAGTTTCTCGTAGTGGAAGTGCAAGGAAAACAAAGGTAAAAGGAAGAACAAACATGACACATGTATAGACCGGAGGAACAACAAACATAGGATAAGAAGGTACATAGGGCGGAGAGGTCAGGCAGAGGAGGCAGCCGGGGCTAATTGTGAGGAACTTAAAAGCCTTTCTCTTGAAGGAGAGATGTGTGATGTGAGATGAAGGTACAGATTAGAACGTTACATAGTACCCTGAAACCTAAGATATCAGCTAGGATACTCACAGAGAGGTTTGTTTGGCATGAAAGTACATTTGCACTTTATGGCTTCTCCTGTGTCATAAAATCCTTACCAGAGCAACTAAGCTTGCATTATCTGGAGGTGTAAAAGAATAACTCACCTCCAGAGTGAAAGTATCAGAGATTCTTTTTCCCAGAAATATCACAATGTAGACATGGCTCCTTGGAGACCTACCACGAAGGTAACTACAACTAAGGAATACTCGAATGGAAAGTGTCAGGAGGAGACACTTGAGGTATTGTGCAAGAAGGAAGTAAAGGCTAATGCAGACCTCTGAACTGCCAAAGCACTGAAAGCCTGCCTCAACACAGTCACAGTCTCTCAGCAAAGAACCACGATTGGCTCAAGATGTTTAAAGACATCCCTGTTCATTAGGTGACTGACAAGGTAATCAAGCAGTGAATTCAGTCACTGTATAAAACAAGGAGTACTGACTTTATAGGTCTTTAGGCAAACCAAAAGCAGCAGCAGCAATAACAGCCAAACCCAAGGAGGTATAATCATCTAAGTTGCCATATTACATTATTTTAAATGTCCAGTTTTCAAGAACTGAGGCACACAAAGAAACAAGAAGGTAGGCCATACATGAATAAAGGCAATCAGTAGAAACTTCCTGAGGAAGCCCAGGACAAAGACCTTCAGTAGACTATTATAAATATGTTCAAACCCTAGAAGAAACTATTTAAAAAAAATGTTAAAAGCATGAGAAGAAAGTCTCAACAAAAGGGAATATCAATAGAACCTAGAAATTGTAAAAATAAGAATCAAGTGAAATTTTGAAATTTAATAATACTATATTCATGAGAAGAGTTGAACAGCAGATTTGACTGGGTAGGAGAAAGAATCAGAAAACTAATAGGTCAACTGAAATTATTTGGGGGAAGAACAATAAGAGAAAAGAATGAAGAAAATTGAACAGAACTTCAAAACACATAAATTCACTCTATCATGAGAAAAACATCAGACAAATTCCAGGTAGGGGACAAGCTACAAAATCTTGACTAGTGTACTTCAAAATTGTTAAGATCATCAAATCCAAAGAAAATCTGAGAAAGTATCACAACTAAGCAGAGCCTAAGGAGACAGACATGTCTATTAAACATAATTTGGAAAAATAGATGGAATAATGGAACAAAAATACTTTAGGTAAAATTGAAGGAAATTTCAGTGTTATACAGACTTTATTTGATAGAAATGTATCTATATGGTTGTATTGATTGTAATGAATGCATTATACCAAACTAAAATGCTAATAGTGTAAGCTAGATATAAATGATCCGGGAATTCTCTCACAATTTTTCTATAAATCTAAAACCAGTCTAACACAAAAAATTTAACAAATGAACAAAGCCTCAAAGACCTATGGGATATTATCAAACACTACCATACATATTATGGGAATCCCAAAAGGCAATAGAAAAGATAAAAAAGCAGAAAGAATATTTTGAGAAATTAGGGCCAAAAATCTTTACACATTTGATGAAAAACATGTATCTACATGTTCAGAAACTCAATGATCTCCAAGCAGGTTAGCCTCAAATAATCAAGCAGCAAGAGAAAAACAAGTCACCACATACAAGGGATTCTAAATAAAATGAACAGCTGACTTTTTGTCATACACTTGGGAGGCAAGAAGACAGCAGGGGCATGCCATGTTCAAAGTGCTAAAAAGGAAAGGCTGCTAACCAAGAATCCTACATTCAGCAAAACTATGCATTAAAATTAAAGGATAAGTGAAAACTGGGAGAATGTGTTGTCAGCATACCTGCCATACAAGAAATACTAAGGGAACTCTTAAAGCTAAATGAAAGAACAATAAACAATAACTTGAATCCTAAGAGAAATAAAGAACATCAGCCGAGGTTATTACACAGAGAAATAAAAGATAGTTTATATGTGTTTTTGTTTATAACTGTTTTCTTCTATTTAATTTGAAAGATAATTAATTACATAAGACAATAATTATGAAACTGAGTTGTTGGTCTTTGATGTAATTTGTATGACAATAAGAGCACAAAGAAATGGAGGGATAACTAGGCTACATTGAACCAAAGTTTTTGTATACTATTAAAATTAAATTAGTGTTTATATGAACTAACTTGATTTAACTTCAAATATTAATTGTAATGCTATGTCAACCACTAAAAGCCCTCAAAAATACTGAAATAAATAATCAAATTAAGGTTGTGTTAGAAAATATTTATTCAACATAAGAGAAGGCAGTAATGGAGTGGCCAAAAATGATATTACATACAAAAACAAATAGCAAAATGCCAAACTTAAATTCTACTTCTTCCATAACTACATTAAAAAAGATGATTAAATAGCTATAATTACAAAGTAGATATCAGAATAATGGATATGTGGTTCAATTATGTGCTATTTACAAGAAAATGTACTTTAGATCAAAAGACACAAATTTATTGAAAGTCAAAGGTTGGAAAAACATGTCATGCAAAAGTAACTGAAAGAAACCTGAAGCATACTTCTAAATAAAAATGGATGGGAAGAAATAACAGGGAAAATTAGAACATTCTTTGAGACGAATAAAGATATGAAATAGTCTTTCAAAATTATGGGTTGCAGTTAATGCAGTGATTAAAGAGCCACAAATGCACATATTAAAAAGGAAGATCTCAAAAAAGCTAAATATCCATATCAAGAAACTAGAAAAAGAGAAAATAAACCCAAATGAAGCAGATAGGCATAAATAATGATGATTATAGCTGAGTAAATTTAATAGCAAGTAGAAAAATATATAGTTGGCTCTTAATAAAATTTGCAAATCAAGAAAAAAAGAGAAGACTCAAATTACTAAAATCATGAAAGAAAAACATTGTCCAGATCTTACAGAAGTGAAAAGAACTTAATTTATAAAGAGACACAAAACCCACAAGTGACCCCCCCCAAAAAAAAGGTAAGTTGGAATTCATCAAAATGACTGTGCCTCAAGGACACCATCAATAAAGTAAATATTTAATCTGCATTGTAGAAAAATATTCACAGCTTTTTTATTTGACAAAGAACTTTATATGTAAGTAATACTTATAATTCAGCTAAAACAATGACAGCAAAATACAACCTAATTTAAAAATCTGTGAAAGATCTCATCAAATATTACATCAATGAGTCTATGCAAATAACTAATATGCAAATGAAAAACTGTTCAACATCATTTGTCATTAGAGAAATGCAAATCAAAATCATAACGAGATGCCACTTCACCCCCACCTAGAGGGTTGTAAAGAAAAATATAGAAATTAGCAAGCCTTGATGAGGATGTGGAGAAACTGATACCCTCATATACTGCTAGTATGAATTTAAATGGTATAGGTGCTTTAAAAAGCTGTTTAGGTGTTCCTCAAAGTGTAAACATAGACCATATAGTGCAACAATTCTACTCCTTGGCATATGCCCAAGAGGAATAAAAACATTCCTGCAAAATACAGCGTTCAAAATCAAAAAGTGGAAACTCAAATATCCATTCGTGGACAGATGGGTAAGCAAAATGTGGCATGGAACATCCAGTTAAGTGAAATTATTCAACAAGTAAATAGAAATGAAGAAGACAATATGAATGAACCTTGAAAACATTATTATAAGTGGAAGAAGTCACACAAAATGTCATATTTCATTTTATGAAATAGGCAAATCCGTAGAGACAGAGATAGATTAGTGGGCATCAGGGGCTCAGTGGTCAGTGAAAATGGTTGCAAATATTCTAAGTATATGAATATACTAAAATCCATTAATTAATTGTAAACTTCAAAATGGTGAATTGTGATATAAGAACTATATTTCAATAAAGCTGCTAAAACAAAAATATGGATTTCTATTATGAGTTAAGTTATGCTTTATATTTTTAAAACAAAGAATAATACTAATTGACCACCCAGGACACCATATGCTGCTCCTTTTCTTCTCTTAAAATAAGAAAGAATCAATTAACAAAAGAAAAGTAATTGAGCTTAGGACTCAGAAAAATGGAAGACATAAAAATAAGTGCTATGGGACATGAGGCCTTGCTGCACTGCACCATTGAACTTTCCCTTGTGCTGACAGGACAGAAAGGAAGCACATGTGAGGTGGCAACCATTCCCATGCTAATGATCTGCTTGGCTGGTTTAGGTTTGGAAGAAATTTTATGATTGATTCTTTAAAATTTATTTTGGATATTCCAAATGCCAAAGGAATTGACTTTTTTTAAGTAAAAAATTATCTTACTGACCTGCTTTCTGAAAACTCTGAAAAATCATCCTGAAGCTCAAACTTGTGTAGAACTTCTCCAATCAGGTAGCCACTGGAAAATGCCTTTGCAAATGCCTTGGGACCTGAATTTTAAATCATTGACACAGAAAATTAAAAATCAAGTCACACTATAATTTAAAAGTAGAGTTAAAACCACATAACTTAATTTGAACTTAAAATGCCACAACTATATTTCTAGAAACAACTCTTAATAGTCAAAGTAAAAGTGTAGCAGTAGACATTAAAATTCTCAAACATAAATCAATAATTGATATCTACAAACTTTTGAGAGAAGAGAAAGAACATTTCTGATTAAAATTAAACAAAGCCTAACCCCCAAATAATAAGTAATCTTAGATCTAAATATAAACTTTGAATATATTTTATAAAAGCACTCTATTTTAGTTATTCATATAACCTATGATGATAGTATATTCTGGCTAATTGAAGTGCAATTCATCTGTTAAAAATAACAATTTGTTTTTAACCTTAAAACAAAGGAAATTTTATTGAAATAATATGCATCTTTTTATAAAAATCCTATTAAGCATAATCAAGCTTTTGCTTTGTGGTTCAGAAGGGTCACAGAGGTCCAGTTTTTGACCTATACAACAATGGCACTATACCAGAGGAATAATATCTCTGGAGACAGAAACATCTCTATTGGAATCTTGGCTCTCTGCCCCTTACTTGCTATGCAAGCAGTTTAACCTTCCTATGTTTCTGTCTCTTTGTCTCTAGAACAGAGATGACTATATCTGTGTCTTATCTTGGAGAGTTATTTGAATTATTAATTAAGTTTATTTTTAACTAATAGGTATAAACAAAAATTGTACTTCTTTTTGGTGGGGCAACTTGTGATGTTCTGATACATGAATATACGCTACACTGTATAATATTTAAATCAGGTTATACATAGCTATGGCCTCAAATCATTTCTTTATGGTAAAAACTTTCAAAATCCTCTTTTTTAAAGCTTTTTGAAACACACAGTCCGTCACTGTAATCTGCAGTTCTGCTGGTGTGCTGTGGCACAGTCCGTCACTGTAATCTGCAGTTCTCCTTCTGTGCCACAGCACACCAGCACTTGTTGGCCTATCTAATGCAGCTTAGTACTCACTGCGCAGTTTCCCCACCTATCTCTGCTCCCCACCCTCCCCAGACTCTGGGTGCTGCCATTCTATTCTTAATTTCTTTGGGATCAACTTTCTTAGATTCCATATATGAGTGAGAGCAGTAGTACTTGTCTTTCTGTGCCTGGCTTATTTCACATAAGAAAATTATTTCCACTTCTACTAACATTGTCTTGAATGATAGGATTTCATCTTTTTTGTTCATCCTAGTAGTATCTTATCATGGACAATGGACAGCCTTTTGTTTTCCTTTCCTTTCCTTTCCTTCCCTTTCCTTCCTTCCTTCCTTCCTTCCTTCCTTCCTTCCTTCCTTCCTTCCTTCCTTCCTTCCTTCCTTCCTT